TCATAACTTTTTTTCAAGTGGCAAGGTGCCAAACTAAATGTTTATATTTTTATTATTTATAATAAAAATATAAACTTTTACTTTTACAATTATACTTTTTTATACTCTACCGTAATTATATTAAAACATGTAAGAAGTTTTAAAATGATAAATATTAGTCTTCCTTTAAAAAAAAATTATGAAAAATCATCTTTTTGGTTTCCCAAAGTATGAGACCCCTTTAAGATCACTAACAATTTTTATTCTAAATAATAAATAATAAGAAGGAGCTATAAGTTAGATTTTTATTCAAATTTTTAGAACATATGTTTCGATTATTAGGTTATCCTCAGTGTATACCTGTAGAGAACGCAAATTTAACAAAATTAAAATGATTAGATACAATTTTTACGGATTATGGTTACGCAAAGTTGATAGTATCTATCTTCTGTCACAATAATGTAATTCAGTCTTGTAATATGTTACATTCTTTCATTATATCGGTTAAAATTAGTCCATAATGATGATAAAATTATTTAAACATGTTGAGTCATTCAATAAAAATGTATCAGCACATTCTCAAACATTCTCAAATGCGAATATTTAACAAGGATATAACCCATGTTTAACAAGGATATAAACTAGTAGTTGAAATAATGAATCAAATTAATTCATAAGAAGCATGCGATCAGAGTTAAAATTGAAATTAATTTAGTCGAAAATTACTTGTATTATCCAATTTTTATTCTATTGGGTTGTCCGGAAAGTTCGTGCCGCAAAAGATTTAAATTTAATAAATGTATTAGATATGGGAAAAAGTTCGTTTTTTCCATTAGATAGCATTAAAAAAACGCCACAAACTTTTTCCCACATCTAATATACTAAAATTTAAACCTTCTGCGTTTCAATTTTCTTTTAAAATCGGCACGAACTTTCCGGGTAACCTAATATTTCCTATTTTTTTGGAATTTTTTCAAAAATCATTTATTTGAAAAAAAAAATGAATATAAAAGATGTTCCTTATATTTACAGTTTTTATTTGATAACTTTTTTTGATATATTCAGAAATTTAGAAGATATTCACGGAAATTGATTTTTTTGCTTTATCATAAAGTTTAGGGGCTCGAGGGCACGTCTTCTCTTATCCGATCGGACTGCAGTTTTATGCAATTTTTTTTTTTCTTGAATTGGAATCGTTTTGGAGGGTGCCGCAAAGAAAAATTCGAAAGTCGAAAATAAGAGCCACTTATACATATATTGGGTTATCCGGAAAGTTCGTGCCGATTAACCTATATAATTTAATAAATATATATTAAAATTTAAATTTTCTGCGTTTTAATTTTCCTTCAACGGCACGAACTTTCCGGACAGCCCAATATATAAGGTAACTGCATATAAGGTAACTGCACTTAAAGGATGAAAAACCGGGATGAGGATTACGAAATAAAATACAGCGATTATTTAAGAAAGGTAATTCACATACAACTGTTTATTGAGACATGTAGAATACATCTGGTCATACACAAAAATCTTTGACACTTTAAATCAAGCTCCTAGCCCGAAAAAAGGAACCATGTTATAACATTCGTCTTTAAATTCATTATTAATCATTATGTTTAACTACGTTTTACACTAAAATTAGGGGCAACTTGGAGAAATAAAAATTGCGGGAATTAAAAAGCGAACGATTGCTAGAGGAGGTGAATAATTACAGAAGCCGATAAAAAACGCAAAATACAATTAGTGATGATATAAATTTGGCAAAATTTGGTAAAAAGTTTACATCTGTTTACAGCCGCGGAGCTGACATGTAGCGCAAAAAAGTAATAATATATATACATATATATATACATATATATACATATTATATA